TTTCAACTAGTGTTTCTGCATCACAGATTTCTCTCCTTTTTCTCTATACTCTAAAAAGACAACTAAAGAGCAATCAAAAAGGTGTCTGACTTGGCCATTCAGACAATTGCACCCTTGTGGGAATGCTGGAATGAATGGTACAGTGGACACCCCAGCACTATTGACGTTATAAACATGTAAATGAAACACATTAGGGCAGACAATCAATTGTCTGTGAGCACTGCAAACCTGCACTCCCTTTCTGTGTGACAGGCACAAAATAGTGTCTACCTTGGGAAGCCATGGTCTTGCAGAAAAAAAGGACAAAGAGTTCTCTTTCACAGAGGAGAAAATGCACCTTAAAAGCACTGGGATAATGCAGATGCCAAAAACTGTTGTGAGGCGAAGAATTTCCTATTTCTTGGAATGAATGTGGGGCTGCTGTAAAAGAATCAACACCCTTCTTTCCACTCCAAAAGGAGACACACATTTTTCTTGGGGAATATTACCAGCCTGTCCTGAGAGCTTGCATCTCAGTCTCCCATATATTTCCCCTACCTTGGGCAGTTGGCTATGTATAATTATCGATAATTAACTTGTAATGGTTTCCTTATCACTTTTCCTTCCCTTTTCAAATACGCCTTTTCCAAGCCATCAAATGCATTTTCTCGCAGCAATTAGAAATTCCCCCAAAACTTTCCTTGCGAAGCATGTGCAATAAGCAAAACCAGTAATTACCGAATGGTTACAAATGGCAAACAGTAAATCAGGCACTAATCTCCAAATTCTCTGGGTTTCTCGAAACTCGGAAGAAAATAAATAGATCCGACTTGACACAGAAAACAACCTCCCCTGCTCCATGTCACAGCTCAGCCTGGACATGAATCTGCACCGAGAAAATCTGGTTGGATAATCATTACGCCCTGGCCACTCGCATTTATGGCATTAATTTTCAGCACCTATCTCCAGGTGCTTTTCTGGAGGTGGTGGCAGTACATTTGTCTCGCTACTCAGTGAGCCAAATCCCGGAGAAATCTCCTCGCAACGGATTCCCGGCCCTGGGGAGCTGCCCGGCCGCAGGAGCGCTCCGGGTGCCCGCTCTGCCCGCTGCCACCTGGGCTGCACAGGGAGCAGCTGCCTCCTCACACCCCAGCCTCAGTCTGGCTGCCTCCAAACTTCTCCAGGCAGGGAAGACAAGACTCACTTCCCACTCACTAAAAGCAGCAGGCAGGCTTGCCTATTTTTTCCTTTTTTTTTTTTTTTTTTCCTCCCTCTTTTTCAAGTGAGGAATGAAGGAGGTTTTTCCCCCTTCCCCAGCATCCCTGGAAGGAGGGTGGGTGGGTATCTTTTTGGGAAAGGCTCTGAGCAAGTCTAATCGTCTCTTCTTGTTTGGTCTGTGGTCTTGGATCAGACGCCCTGAAAGCATTGAACTTTCTCCCTTTTCTTTACAACTGGAAGCGAGGTGGCAAAGGAATCAAAGAGAGCTGTTTACTGAAAGTTTGGGGTAAATTAGATACAACTTTCCCCCCCTCCCTCCTCCCTTCGCGGGGATTTTAATTTCACTTTGGATTTTCGAGGAGGGGAGCGGAAAGGATGGGGGAAAAAAAAAAAAAAAAACACCCAACCAAAAAACCTCAGCCAACAAACGCCAAACCACAACAACACGGAGAGAGGCAGCTCATCAGGCAGGGCAGGGCAGGGCTGCCGGCCGGACAGCGCTGCTCCCGCGCCCCGCTCCGCACCGCTCCGCGCCGCTCCGCACCGGCGCTGCGGCCGCAGCCCCCGCCTCCGCGGGGCGCCCGTGCGGAAAGGGGGCTCACTGCCCTCTCCTCCTCCTCCTCTTCCTCCTCCTCCTCCTCCTCCTCCTCCTCCTCCTCCTCCTCTTCTGCCGCCACTTCTCTCCCGAGTGAAAGTGCCGCGAAGTGAGTCAGGCGCTGGGAATCATCTGACTGAACTTCCCGGAGCTCCGCCGCATTCCTGGGCTGCCGCTCCCGCACCTCCCGCCCCCCCAGCCCCGCTTTCGGGGTCCTCTCCTGCCCATCCTCCCCGGGGGGCTCACCCCTCATTGATTTCCACATCGCCTCTCTCAACCCAGCCCAACCCAACCCCCCGCCCGCACACCTCTCCTCCACTCCAGCAGCTCTCATCAACCCCGTTATCTTGGAAAATCCCGAGCCTGCTTCCTTTCTACCCTATTTAGCTCCGCTGTAATTTTATCCAGCCCCGGTATCTCATCCCGAGCCTTGCCCATCCCCGCACACACGCAGATACACGCACACAGGCGTGGAGCCCACTGAGGCATTAGTTGGATTATTCTGTTTTGTCCCCGTCTGTAATGTGTCTGGGATTCACTAACACTCCTCTCGCTTCCTTCGGGACCATCTATTTTTATTTTCTTTTTCGTGGCTTCTAAATTTTATTTTGGTTCTGCTGCGTTTCTAAGGAATTTCTGTCCGAGTTCGATAAGCATCACCGTTTCTGGTGTTATCAGCAAAGACACAAGCTCAGAAGTAACATCTTTTCCACGATTCCAGGAAAGAAGAAAAATCCACTCAGTCCAGATAAATCCTAGGCAATTCCCAACGGGAAAGGCATTGGATACGTGCTTGTCGAGAAAGAGAAAATGAAAAAAAAAAAAAAAAAAAAAGAGAAGAAACAAACCCACCCTCGCTCTACCTGCTCCTCAGAACCAGGGCATTTCTCACTCGGAAATGAATGAAAGAAACAAATTAGGGAGCACAAAGAGGAAAGAGGGGACAGACAGAAAGTAGGGAATGATTTCCTTTCCCCCCCCACACACACCCCGTGTCTTGGCCAGAACAAGACACTGAAGGGAGAACTCAGCCCTTCGCATAAGCAGCGCACACACACTTGAAGTTTGCAGGATCTTTAAGTGGTTACCTTAAAAATCGCAATTAAACTTTCGTCTCCCAAGTGTGGTGGTTTTTCCAAGTTAGTGCAGCTCCCTGAAAACACCCTTTTGCATGGGAACAACCAGAATCTGCCACCCTGCTCCATACGTGCTCCCAAAGACTTGGCTGCACTACCAGGATACGGTCCTGGTGTCCTGGGCAAACAGAGGCGTCCAGTAATTTTTTTTTTTTTTTTTTGGGGGGGGGGGGGTAAGGGTGGTGGTGGTGGGGTTTTTTTTAGTACTCAAATCATGTTGAGAAAATATTAAACACGTAGATGCATCCCTCATCAGAGAGCATGTGATGGGTTTAACACGCTAAACTAATAGTCTTGCCTGGAAAAGCAAGGAGGCTGAGGAAGAAGAATAAAACCCCCTCAAACACTCAGAATATTCTTTACTGCAAAAGAGCACTTCTGGATGCGTTGCTTTAAATCTCATTCTCTTTTTCTCTCAAAAATGACTGTTTAACATAAGAAAAAAGGCTACTTGACACAAAGCTTTTGTTATCCAGTTGATCAGCAACGTGCTTTAGATACTTGTAAGGGGAAAAAAGCCCCACAACAGACATTGATTTTAGAAAATCAATAACCAACATTTAATAAAAAGAACAGAGGAAACACAAGAGAGGAGAGGGAAACATTACGTGTAATTTTAATGTCTACTAAATTACCCAGAGATGAGGGGAAGGGGAGGTCTCCTCTGTGAGGACCACCTTAAATAATGACAGACACAAGAGTAAAGGGTGGTGGTGGAGGGGGAGAGACTTTAAAAAAAGATAACAAGAAACGGATCCTTGGGAAGCTGCTCGGAATATATTATTTTAGTTGGGTTTTTTTTTTTTTTTGTAATACTAAGCCAAGCAAATAGATCAAAGACAACACAAAGGGAAAAGCCAGTGTAACATAACGAACAGTTTCTGACTAAAATTCCTCTATCACTCCCCCATATGGCTCGACGCCTCCACCACAACAAGAAAAAGACACTCACACGCACACACACACACTCACACTCACAACCTAGAGAGAGGGAAGGGGAGGGGGGCAGGATCATTTGTTTCTAATCAACATTCTCTTGTCTTTGTGTTTTTTGTTGTTGTTGTTGTTGTGTGTGTCCCCCTCCTCCTTCAGCCCCCCTCCACCTCCACCTCTCCACTTAAATGAAGTAGCTGAGCTATAAGCGCATGGGTTCAGGTTCACACAAATATCTTCCTTCCTCCTGCTCCTCGAGAGGAAAGTTGTTGGAAGTGGGGCCGGGATGGCCATGGAGGGGCTGCGGGCGCGGAGGGGGACGCTGGCGGCGGGGAAGCGGCTATCAGCCGGGGGAGAAAGGAAGAAACTAAGGGAGGGACGGGGAGAGACGGAGAAAGAGAGACCCACCGCACCAGTGAAAGCTGCCAAATGTGAAATCAGCCCAGAACACCGCGTCCCACTGCGCCCCGGCCCTGCGCGGCCGGCGGGGACCGGGGGAGAGGGCAGCGACGGACAATCGGGCACCGAGCTCATTAGTATTATTAATTATCAGGGAGGAGGAAGTTTCATTTTCGAGTCCCTAACAATAAGGAAAAAAAAAAAAAAAAAANAAGAAAGAAAGAAAGAAAGAGAGAGAGTCGCTAACTCGGTGCCAGCCCTTCTCGGGGTTCTCACGCTGCCGGGTTTTTTTCCCAGGGCCGCCCGCCCCGCTGGTTCCGCGCCGCTCCGCGCCTCGCACCGCCCCGCTGCGCTCCGCTCCGCGCCCCGGCCCGGCCCGCGCTGCCAGCGCCGGAGCGAGCCGGGCAGCGCCCCGGGCGAGCCGGGCCGCCCCCGCCGCCGCTCCGCCGCTCCGGGCCGCGGGGGCAGCGCCCGCGCCGCTCCGCGCCCGCGCAACAAACTTTGGGGCGCGGCGGCGGGGCGGGCGGCAGCGCGCTCCCCCCCGCGTCCCTCCGCTCCGCCGGCGCTCCGCGGCCGCGCAGCCCCGGCCGCTCCGCGGGACGCCGCGCAGGGAGGCGGGGGGCGGCCAGCCCCGGGCTGCCGTGCCCCCCTCCCCGTCCCGCTCCCCGTCCCGCCGCCGCCTTTCCCCCCGCGGCCGCGGCGGAACCGGCCGGAAAAGTTTTCCCGGGGGGCCGTCTTACCGTTTTTCCTCCGGGGGTTGGCTTGTTTTCGCCTCTTACACCTGGGGCCATCCGCCATGATCTGCTGCTTCATTGATAAGAGTGGATCAGATGGCAGTTCGCATGGGCTCGACTCCCTGATTCAGCAGCAGCGGCAGCGGCAGCGGCAGCACGCAGGCTCTATGTAACGACCAAACACAGCGACAATGTGGGCATCGGGATGTCCCATTTAAACGCAGGGCGCCAACGGGGACCCCAGTTTGCACCCGAAAAAGAACCCATCCACGCACACGGCGAGGCTGGCCGTGCCGGGGGAGGTGGGACGCGGTCGGAGCGGGCTCCCCCTCTCTCCCCAGCCGGGCAGATTTCTTCTTTATTTATTTATATATTTATTTATTTATTTATTTCTGCTCCCTCTCTCTCTCTCTCTCTCTCTCTCTCTCTCTCTCTCTGTGTGTGTGTGTGTCTGCGTGTGTGTGAGCGCGTGTGCGTGTGTCTCCCTCCCTGCGTGTGTGTGTGTTGCACCAGCAAAGCAGATCAGAGAGAGAGAGAGAGAGAGAGAGAGACAAGAATTACATCTCAAATGAGTCATAACTCATGACCGTATGAGGGAATGCACAGCTTTTACAGTAGGCTGTTTGACTCAATGCTAGGCGGACCATTTCCTCCTAAAAGTACTTTAATTTGACACTAGAACTTCTTTTCACGCGAAATCCTACCCTTCTCCTGCCTTCATTTTTTCCCTCCCGAAGTGCTCTCCAGCAAAGTGATAAGAGGAGAGGGAAACATGGCTCTCCCCTGTCCTTTTGGGGTAAAGCTCAGCATGGATACCTCCCCCTCCCCCTAACAACGAGGAGTGTAATTATAAACCTCTGTCACCTTTTTAGTCAGTTTGACAATATTCAGGGTTTCCCCTGCCCCTTACTTAAACAAAGCTTCGGAGTGTCTTTTTTTTTTTTTTTTCCTTCCCAGAAAAGAAACAGAAATCAAAACTACCGCTGTCAGAGTTTTCAACCTTCCAGTTGGGTTTTGGGTGGGCTTTTTTTTTTTTTTTTTAAGAAAAAAAAAAAAAAAAAAGCAACCTGTAAACTTTTTAGACCTACTGTGTGTGCCTGAGTGCCCGGGCTGGGCAGGAGGATCTATCTGTCAAAGGGAGAGAGGGGAAGGAGCGTTTGCTTTGCTGCAAGAACGCTCCTGAAACTCAGTCTAGCTCGAAGAAGATGCTGTAGCTTTAAAGATGCTTCGACTTGAGGATTAGTTTAAACAGGGGGCTATAAAAGATGTAACAGATGCAAACTGTAAAACAAGGGCAATTAACCCTTGCTCTCCTGAGCAGGATGCCCCCTCGCCTTCGCATCTATTGTCTTCTCCTGCACTGAGAGTTTTGCATAAAAGCTAAAAAATTATTACTTGACTCAACAATTTCAACATATATATATGTATGTATTTTAAGCAGAGCGAGATTTTTTCCCCCTTTTCCTCTTTCCCCTCCCTTGTGTCTTTTTACTTTGCTGGAGCTTCACACCAGGACTGAGCAGTGAAGTGTGCTGCTGTTGGGTCTTTTTATTCTGCTTGAACTCTCTCCTCAGGCGTTTACTGTTATAAAACCTGCTTGGCTATAAATAAAAAATAATAAATCTCCAAGCAGGTAAGAGGATGGGGAGATTGAGAGAGTGTGCGTAGGGTCAGCGTGTTTACTCACACTCTCCTGCCTGGGATTCCTCCTGGACAGAGGGAATGGGTGGCTCTGTGGATGTGGATGAATGTGGCTGAGCAAAGAAGAGGTTGAGAAATGTGCTAGAAACTTCAGTATTTGCCAGTTATTCCCCAGGCTGGGGTGGGCAATGGTGGCATCACCGCGGCAGATCTGCCAGGAGAGGAGAGCAGCGGGGAGGGAGGACAGGCACCGAGGCGAGCCCGGACCCTCAGCCTGCCTCGGCAATTGGCGTTTTAATGCAAAACGACCAATGGTGAATTGTTTTAAATGCATTTCACTCCCTTCCCTACTCTCCAGCCTCCCGTAAAAAGTTGTCAATAATTTTAAGCCTGCAAATTTCGAGAACACTTTTCTTCCCAGAGGACAGGCAAGCTTTTAAAAATATATATTAATTTAATTTTTTTTTCCTTTTGGTAAACGACTTTTAAGTTCCAGTCTGTACTTTCACTTCTTGCTTTAGGCTCCCAGAAGCTAAGGTGTTACTTCACCCAGCTTCACAAAATAAAATATAGAAATGAAACCAACTATGCAGACAAAACAGCAAAACTTTCTGTTTGGGGAAACACATCCTTTGCCGGGGAGCCCTGCCCGGGGCTGGGGCTCCAGCGGTGCCCGGCCGGGCTGGCTCTGCATGCTCAGGGCATGCAAAGCATTAACAGGTACCTGCAAACTTTCAGAGCTCAGATGTAAAACCTGAAATAAAAAGAGCAGGAGGTGGGTGGGGGGATGTTTCGTGGTTTTTTTTTTTGGGGGGGGGTTGTTTTTTTTTTTTTTTTTTTTTTTTGAAGTCCTTTCCTAACACTAAAACTTTTGCTGCTGCGTTTTAAAAGGCACCTCCCGTACCTGTCTGACAGGTAAGGGGAGCAGGGGTGGTGGTGGCACAGCTCCGAGCACCCCGAAACTGCTCATCCCTTCCTGGAGCGGTGCTGGAGTGACTTCAGGTTTCGGTTCAAAAGATTGAAAAAATAATAAAAAAAAATATTTTCTGCCCCAAGTATAAACAATCCAGAAAAATTAAAATACTCTCGAAATGAAATAACCCCGCTGATGCGTGAGATGGTGTGAGGAAAAAAAAAAGAGAGAAGAGGAAAAAAAAAAAGAGAGAAAATGGAATTAAATTCCGAACCTACCTGCGAAGTCTTGTTTGTAGTTTTGGCCAGAAATGGTGAGAAGAAAAAGCATGAAGAAGCCGCGAAGTGGAGGAGAAAAGGTGAAGGGAGATGCAGCTCCTGGAGAAATTGTAAAAAGCCTTGCAAAGAGTTGTCGGAAGGACCGTTATTCCTGCTGGGCAGGTTAGGACTGATCTCTTTCTGCCACTCCAGGAAACACAAACCTGGGGACGGACTGACGTGTTACGCCTCTTCTAATGACATTTTTTTCTTTTTCTTTTCTGTACGAGCGAGAGGAGAGACCCTGCAACACACGCCACCTATCTTTGTGGGGAGGGATAATTGGAGAGCACCAAACGTGAGCATCATGTGGAAACGTGATCGCCAAGTTTCTCTCTGGGAAAGGATCTGGGATAGATTATACCTTGAAGTCTCCGCGAACGCTTTAGCGGCAGAAATGCAATTCCACCTCCTCCCGCCCGCCCCCCGCCCCGCGCCCGCCCCCCGCCCCGCCGCTCCGCGCCGCTCCGCGCCCCGCGGAAACTCAGCGCGCCCCTCGGCCGCATCCCGACCCCCCCGGGGCTGCGGCCCCCCTGGCCCGCGGCCGCAGCGCTGCCTTCCCCCGCGGCCAGCCCGCAGCGCTGCCTCCCCCGGGCGCATCCCCGCTCACCGCCGTGCCCCGGGCGCATCCCCGCTCCGCCGCCGCATCCCTTCCCTCCCCCGGCCGGGATCCCCCGCCCCCTCCCCAGCAGGATCCCGCCGGATCCCCTGCCCCCGGCTGGATCCCTGCCGCTTCTCCCATCCTCGGGCGGGATCCCTGGCGCTGCCCCCCCGGCCGGGTCCCCCCCCGGCCCGCCCGGGCCGCCCGGGGCCGCATCCTGCCCCGCACCGGCCCCGCTGCGGGCTCTCGCCTCCTGCGCTGGGGAAAACTTACCCTAACATAAAGCCTAGAAACTAAACTCTGTTCGGGTGCTGCGAATAAGCTCCCGGCTTGTTTTGGTGCGGTTTTATTTTTATCCTTCACGCGTTTCTTTTGGGGCTTTTTTTTCTCCCCCCCCCCCCCTCCCCCCCTTTCATTTCAGCACTCGTCCAGGTTATTTGAATAGTCAGCTAAATCTGATGGGAAAAAAAAAATCAACCGAACGTGCTGAGATCTTACAGTCTATCTGTTTTGTTCACAGATATGGATCAGGGGTGAGATGGGCTCTTTTCCTGGCTCTGTTTTTTTCTTGGAAGTAGCTGGATGAGCAGAGAGAGACAGCGTGGAAGAGTAACGCGTGGGGCTGAACTTCATGGAGGTTACAAGTTTTTCACTCTTTTCAAGTATTAAAATTAAAATAAAATTACATATAGAAAAAAAAAAAGAAGAGAAAGAAGAAAAAAAAAAAAAAAGCAAGAAAAATAATTGAGCTTAAAAAAAAAAGAAAAAAAAAAAGAAGAGAAAGAAGAAAAAAAAAAAAAAAAGAAGCCCAGACTCCACCTTTGCACTGAAGGGATTGGTTATGCAAATATGGAAGGGGTTTCCTGGCAAATACAGCTTTCTACTGTATGGTTAATTAAATCATCACTCAAAAGCCTTCCAATGTGACGCTTCTGTCGTAATCCAATCAGGTTACGTAGGTTCTAAACAAGAAAGATATTTTCCACATCTGGAAGTCAGCAATTTAGCAAGTACTGCACATTATTAACCAATTCAGAGCCCACTTCCCAGGGGGATAGCTTTTTCTTTTTTTCTTTTTTTTTTTTTTTTTTTTTTTTTTTTTTTTTTTTTTTTTGAAGTTTAAGTGTTCTTAACCAACGCTCTGCCGGTTTGTTAATCAAAAAGCCGGTTTACACCGCGCGTAATCGAGAAGTAATATCGAAGTGAGTAAAGGCTGAGCGAGCCGGGGATGCTGAGGAAGGCGCTCGGCTGCAAAGGGGGCAGATCCGGCTGGGCTCCAGCCGCTCATGCCCGGCTCCAGCACAGCCCGCAGCCGTTCCTTCCTCCTGAAGGAGCTGCAAATAACCTCCCTGCAAAGAGAAACTTCGCGTCTTGCCCACTCGCGCGGTCCCTTCCCAAGGTAAACGTGAGGCTGCCCAAAGGGCTGCGTTGAAGAGCTGCGAAACAATTTCCCTGCTCTGACAAGAGTTCAGCCTATTCCAGCACTTTATTTCTTTATTTTTCCTTCTCCCCCTCCCGAAGAAAACCGAAACAAATGGCACGCTGATCCCACACTGCACTTTTACTTACATTAAGCTCAGATAAACTGCTCTTGAACTGTGCACCGAACGCGTGCCCAAAGCAAGAAGTGGAGGGCGGGCAACAGCGATGGGATCGCGCTCCAAAATGGTCCTGGGGGCACCTTCCTGGCGGATCAGCAGCGCAAAGCAAGGAAGGGACCCCCCGGCCCCCCCGCAGGGTGTCTGTGTAGCTCATCAGAGCCACCGACATCTGCCTGGGAATTTGGGGGATTTTTTTTTTTTTTTTTTGGTCATCTCGTAGTTAGACGGGAGTGGGTGACCCTGTGAGATGCGGGGGAGGCAGCGCACGGGGGGGTTCCGGGTAGGGGGGTCCAAGTGTCCTCCCGGGCTGCGAGGTGGCACCTCCGGGTGTCCCCCTCCTCAGCCCCGAGCTGCAGGCGGAGTGGGGAGGGAGAGGCAGGCTCTGGCCGTCTGCTGCCGCTGCAATCCCCAGCTAGGCTGCCCTAATCTTTTTAATGATTCTATTTATTTATATTTATTATTTTTATTCATATTTCTATTTTTGCTCCCTGCTGCGAGTCATCGTGGCTTTGTTAAAAGTTTTCTTGCCACTATTTTCTAAATGCCAGCATGATTTTCCTGCAGGATGCATGATTTCTCCATGCCTAAATGTACCTGGATACACAGAGGCATATCACACGCATACACACACACAGAGAGAATGATGATATCTTAATGAAATATATAGCACAGCGCAAATATCCTGAAATCAAATTCAAGTATTATTAGTTTGAATTAGATCCTCTCAGATCCAGAAGGCACTGCCTATAAATCAAGGGCAGTCTGGCAATTCCTTAAAGAGCTAAACTGAATTTAGATGCATATGATAAAAAGAAAGGAAAAGAAAAAAGTGAATGCTAATTACTGACTTGCTCAATTTCCACTCACCCACGTTTTCTACGAGAAAAAGGAGAAAACCTAAAACCCAACCAACAAGTTCTCAAAATAAATTAATCCCTTTACAAACTCCTTACATATTGTTCCTACATTTCCAGATTACAGAACGAGGGGATGAACTGGAGATTACGAGAGGCTGCAGCCTGACTCGCAATAGGCAGGAGTGCTGTCGATGGTGTATCAATAAAATATATTTATCTGCAGCCACGCTGAAAAACAAACCCTCAGAGCGTGTGATGACGCTCAAGGGCTTTAAGAAACATGTCGGCATTGTCAGATAATCCCTATTCATAATTTTGCTGGCTGTTCTTTCAGCCCTCAATCTCACAGTTTCCCCAGCTCTGATGTGCCTCAGCAGGGTTTGCATCGGAGCGATAAAACTGCTCGGATCTTTGCAGGACTGACATAGCACCCAACATTATTAGATGCTATTTTAATGTGAGATTTGGGAGTGTTTGTTGTTCTTTTTTATTTTTAATTTTTGGACACTGGACATAAACATTTAGCAATCAGCTAAGCCCTTCCGAGATGGAATTTAACCTTAATCCAGGCGATGATTTCCTGCCCGGCTCTGAACTAATAACGGGTGTGCAGCTTCTTTAGGAGATGGAAATAATGACAGGCTATGGATCCTGCCTTTATTGGGGTGGTGCTGGCAGCCCGGATCCCTGTCCCTGCTCCATCAGCATCCCCATGCAGATCCTAGTCCCTGCTCTATTTTAAAACTTTTGCACATCCTATTCCCCCCACCCCATCAGTTTAAGAGCAAGCAGAGCCAAAATATCCTCACAAACCCCAGCTCCCTCCTTGTGTGTATCTCTCAGCACTGTGGCTTGGAGATGGTTTTAAGGGCAGTTCTCTGAGTGCAGGTTTACCCCTTTTTCCTCAGGTTTTCCTACACGGAAATGCTGCAAGTTGAGATGAGGGTGGCCTGATCCTGGTGCAGACCTGCCTGGTTAAAGCCACAGGAGAAGCAGTCCTGCCTCCAGCTCCACCAAAACCTATTGTGATGAAGATAAGCCCCTTGGAGATAAGCCCATGTTCCCATCACCGTGTGGATCTGTAGGGGCAGCCAGGTCAGATCCTGCTGCCAGGGACAAACCCTGCCATGGGAAAGGGGTTGTGTAAGGAGAGACCTCCCTGTGATCCCCAGGCACCCAGCTCTGATTGAGAGGGGAGGTGAGAGGCCACCAAGGAGGGCTTTGGAGCACAGGCCCTGCAGGACCTGAGCCTCCTGCTGAGACCTTCTGCCGTGGTGGCTTTATGGGGATGTGGTGCCATGGGCTGAGGGGATGATTCACTGCCTTATTTATTTTGGTGTGTTTGCTTTTTCCCCGGTGGAGGATGAGTAACGGGGACTGTGTTTTCTTGCCCACCACGTGGAAGGAGGAAAACTGAGGGAATAGGAACAAAGATGTTCTGGCTGGTGAATTTTGGCTAATACGTTTTAGAGGCTGGTGAAGACTGAGGTTTAATACCTCTAAATACACTTTAGCAGCTCTGAAATCTTCACGTCTTTCATAGCCAGAACTATTGACTATTTTCCCTGTGGTGTGCAACCCTTCCTACATCAGGGATTAAACATCCCCATGTAGGGGGTCCAGATGAGATGTGCCCACTTGCAGCCAAGCCTGGGGAGAGCATCCTTCCCTCCCCACAGCCCTGCTCTGCTGAGGGAGCTGCTCCTGCAAGATTTGGGATCCCTGTGGGTTCTGGCTGCTTCCCATGCTCCTTCCTCTGGGGTGTAGAAGATGTCCTTGCCTTGAGAAAGAATTCTGAGGTTGCAAAAAAGCCCCCAAATCAAACACAAAAAGATGCTGGGGGGATTATTTTCTGCAGTCACCTGTGGCAGTAGAGGATAAGACAGGCTGGAATAATTTTTGTGAGCAGGGAAGGCCCCATGTGGGCCCAAGATGCCGCTGGATACTTTTGCTCAGTACAGGTGTCCCTATAAACCAAGATTTAGAAAGCAAAGCCTTTATTTTTTTTCCAATTTCCACATGGAGGAGAGGGCACAGAGGAGAGGAAGGGTCAGGGAACGAATTTCCCCCCACCCGCTGATGAGGTATTTGGGAAGAAACCTTTTGAATCAACATTCCCAAAGTTTTTGAGTTCCTCTGCGGAAAACCCATGTAGGGATAGGATACGAGCCAAAAGCAAAGGAAAAGATTGTCTGGCTTTAATTTATCTATCCCTGGGCATTTCTAACCATCAGATCACTGTAATATTTGATCTTGTGTGAGTCCCTGAACGTTAAAAGTGAATCTCCTCATATGTTTTTGTTAATTTTGTCATTTATAAAGCCACTTCTGATGGCCTAGAGCTGCTCAGCTGCCGTCTGTCTGTGTGCCTGCAGCAGGGGAACAGCATCCACAGGTCCCAAAATTTCTTTT